GCGTGAGCAGCCGGAACCCGGCTTCATCTCCTCGCGAGCGCCCGCCTGACCAGCCCCGTGCGTGGCGCGACCTCAGCGCTTCCGGCAGTGATCCCGCAGGACCGGGCACCCAGCTCCCGGGCCCGGGCTGAGGGGGTCCCCGACGCTGGGGGAGCCCCGTCCCCCCAGTGCTCCCTCCCGAGCGAGTGCAGGACCCGCGCAGGCAGCTGAGAGAGAGGAGGTTGCCTGGCCGCTGAAATTCAAAATCCGTTTTTAAAATAAAGGGGTCAGTGACGGAGGATTTAAAGCTCTGCCGGTGCTGACTGAGGGCGACCTGGCTCCGGACCAGCTCGTGGGAAAGTGTCGCTGTCCCCGTGAGCTCCGCGTGACGCCCGTGCTGTGTGGGCGGCGGGAGGGTGGCCTCCGGGGCCGCGTGTCCTCGTGCCTGGAGGGGTGACCGTGTCAGCGTGGGTGGCGGGAGGCCTTCGCAGCTGTGATTCAGGATGTTGAGATGGGAGATGGCCCGGATAACCCAGGTCGACCCAGTGTCCTCCGAGGGTTGTGTGAGGGAGGAGGTGGGAAGGTAGAGCAGGGAGGAGAAGCGACAACAGGCGGGGGCAGCGGGAGGCAGGGCCCCCGGCCGTGCAGCAGCCCCTGGGAGCTGGAGCCGGCGAGGAAATGGATCCCCCTCAGCTTCCAGGACAGACGCAGCCTCGTGACCCATTTTATTTTAACTTTTTTTTTACTTTAAATATATTTTTATTGATTTCAGAGAAGAAAGGAGAGAAACATCAAAGAGGAGAGAGAATCACTGATCAGCTCCTCCTGCACGCCCCCTACTGGGGATGGAGCCCACAACCCGGGCCTGTGCCCTGACCGGGAGTCGCACTGGGACCTGCTGGTTCCCAGGTCCATGCCCAACCCCTGAGCCACACCAGCCGGGCAGTGGCCTGTTTGGGACTCCTGGCTTCTAGGCCTGTGAGGCGATGAGTTTGTGGCCGTGGCTGCAGCCGTGGAGAGTGCCGGCCGAGCAGGGTGCACAGGCCCTCGCTGACCCCCTCAGAGGTGTGATCACGCGGCGCTGGTTTGCGTGTGGGAAGCGTGTTGGAGGCCAAGTGCACGCCAGATGTGGGAGAACTTCCGCGTCATGGCAAACGGGAGGGGCCGAGAAGATGGCATTTCCACCTGAACATGGGAGACGTACCAGTGTCTTCAGGGTGAAGGGTTCACAGGCCAAAGGTTAAGATCCCTGAACCCGGAGGGAAGAGTGAGAACAAATACGTCGGAGCCACAGGGACTCCCGGGTCATTTTAACGAAAACCCCACACGCAGGGCGCCGTCGGTGCTGTGCCTGGTCAGGTAGGAGCCCCGGCCCTGGGAGCGCCCGTCCAGGGCGAGTGGGGGGCACCCAGCGAGGTTGGCAGGGTTCCCCTGGGTCAGGACTGGTCCCGGAGGCGGACCTGAGCCTCCGAGATGGGGTCCTCGGGGATCGAGGGAGACGCACGCGTTCGCGGACGCCACGTCTTCCTGGTGCTGAGGCATGTGGTTGAGTCCCGGACGAGGGCAGGCCGCCCAGCGGCTCGCTTCCCGGCTTGTGGGGTTCAGTCTCCTTGGCCGCCCTCCTCTCCATAAGAAGGAAAGTCTCGGGGTCCCATCTCCCAGCGGGGTCCTTCGGGACAGCAAGGCCAGCTGTGGGTGCCCCAGGAGGAATGCGGGCTCCCCTGCCCACCCTCAGGCTGTGCCGGGGGCCTCAGTGCGCCCCATCCCTCTGAGCGTGGCCACACCTCAGCCTAGTTCCCAAGTCCTCCAGCCGGACAGCATCTCCGGGGCCAGGAGGCTACGCAGGAGCAGGACGGGGGAGAGGGGTTTGTGGGGGGAGGGGTGGAGATGGTCAGTGGGGGGCCAGGAGGCTGAGCGGGTGAGGACAGGGGTGGAGATGGCAGGTGTGGGCGGCTCCTGGGCCAAGGCCCCATCACGGAGCTGCGAGGAGAGAGCGAAAGCCGCCGGTTCTGCGATGAGTGTGGCGGGAGCACCCTCCGCAGGCCCAGGTTTCTCAACAGACAGTGACCCGGCCGGAGGCCTCGGCACTTTCTCCTCTCTCCGCGTGTTTCCTCTGGACACGGCTCCACTGGCAAGAGGAAGCCGAGCGCCTGGTCACACAGCTCTCCGGGGGCAGCGGCCATCCTCGCCGAACCCCCCTCCTCTGTCCGGGTGGAAGGCAGAGGCCCCGGGCCGCGCCCCCCTGCACAGGCAGCTTGCAGCACCCGGGCCCCTGCAGGCACAGGCACCCGCCAGCCCAGCCTGGGGGCCAGGGCAGACCTGCCTGTGTCCGTGATCAGTGCCCTGGCCGACGTGTCTGGACAAGTGCGGGCTGACCTCACCCAGCGCTGGTGGCCTGGCTACGGGCAGACACAGTGCTGACCTGTTGGCATCACTGTCCCTGCCTCGGCCGCCCTCCGGCCTGGCTCTCCCTCCCATGGCTGGTGTGTGTGGTCACACCTGCTGGCTGGGTTTCTGTTCTAAGTCAGCAGGTGGTTTAGGGCAGGAGAGGAAGCAGCCACAGCCAGGCCTGCAGTGCCCCCTGTCCTGCGACCGGCCCATGTCTGCCTCTCCCATGGCGAGGGCAGCACCCATCCTGGCCGAGGGCAGTGAGTCAACCTCCCCCCTCCCCCATCACAGATCAGCACCCAGGTGTGGTGAGAGCAGGGAGCCCCCAGGCGCCCACCCCCTGGCACCACCGCCTGGCCCCCGGCTCCCCTGCAGAGAGCGCTGAGGCCGCCGGAGGGACAGGAGCACAGCTGTCTCCCAGCGGGTGAGAGAGGATTCCCGCCAGTGTCGGACCAAATTCTCAAAAACGCGTCTCTACCAAGAGTGAAAGTCTTGAGTGAATCCCACTGTTTGCAATCCCGGTTTTCTCATCTGTAAAATGGGAACACGAAGGACCCCCAAGTCCCTGGGCTGTGGGGCCCATAGGCCTGCATTCGTATGAAGCCTTAGACGAGGGCCCCCGGGTCCCTGGCACTCGGCTCCTTTCTAGTCACTGACGGACGGACGGACGCGCGAATGCAGATGCGCGAGGGGTGACACGTTCCCCCAGATTTCATTATCGAGGCAGCAGGTGGAAAGCTCGGCTCCTGCGAGGGGCCGTTTCCGGTCCCTGGTGTGTGCTCTGCGTGTGACATGCGTGTGTTGTGTCCCCCCAGGACTACACCTTGTTGTACGAAGAGGCCAAGTACTTCCAGCTGCAGCCCATGCTGCTGGAGATGGACAGGTGGAAGCAGGACAGGGAGGCGGGCCGCTTCTCCAGGCCCTGCGAGTGCCTGGTGGTGCGGGTGGCCCCCGACCTCGGCGAGAGGATCACACTCAGCGGGGACAAGTCCCTGATCGAGGAGGTGTTCCCCGAGATCGGCGACGTGATGTGCAACTCGGTCAACGCGGGCTGGAACCACGACTCCACGCACGTCATCCGGTTCCCGCTGAACGGCTACTGCCACCTCAACTCCGTGCAGGTACGTGTGGTCCCGGGGGGGGGCGGGGGGCCGCCTTAGTGCCGGCACTCACCCTGGTGCACGCGGGGCCTCCCCTTAGAGCAGCGGTTCTCAACCTGTGGGACACGACCCCTTTGGGGGTCGAACGACCCTTTCTCAGGGGTCGCCTAAGACCATCGGAAAACACATATATAATAACATACTGTTTTTGTGGTTAATCACTATGCTTTCATTATGTTCAGTTTGTAACAATGAAATTGGGGGTCACCACCACATGAGGAGCTGTGTTAAAGGGTCGCGGCCTTGGGAAGGTTGAGAACCGCTGCCTTAGAGGGAGCTGCCCTCTGCCTTGTCACCTGCCCCCACAGCACCGGGACGTGGACTGGGGGAGAGTCCCGCCCTCCGCCCCTCCGGGCCTGGTGTGCTGCGTGCGCGGGGACTGTGGTCCAGAAACGGGTCGTGCAGGGCTGCGTCCCCGGGTCTTCGTCTCAGGAGGACTTTCCTGTCATCCGCCAGCACGGGGAGCCGGGTGTGAGCACGCACATCCGCTTCTGATCTCCCCTGAGGGCTGCTTCGCAGGAGAGCAGCGTAGAGTCCGTGCAGAGGAGGGGCCCCGAGGAATCATAATTTTAAGAAACATAAGGGTCTTGAAAGTTACGTCCTCGCCTGTCGCCTTCCTCAAAACCCCTCGAGCCGGGCCTCCGTGTGAAGCTATGCCGGAGGCGTCTTGCCTTCTGGCGACAAAGGAGTTTGATCACCCCCGGGGCCCGGAGGAGCCTTAAAGTCCAGACTCCGGGGGGACAGGCGGCGGCAGCCCCGGCCGGGTCCCCCCTGAGCTGTGGAGCCCCGAGTTGCCAGCACTGGGGAGTCGGACAGGCCGAGGCAAACCCAGGGGTTCCCCGGGCGTTAGGATCCGATTCCTCCCAGGACGGGCTGGGGGGCGTGTGTTCGTGAGACTCGGGATTTGTTTATCTGGGGTCTGTGCGCAGACGTGTCACCGATACCCGTGACGGCCCCTGCGTGAACACAGGCAGTGCCCCTGCTCTGCCGCCACACGCGTGACAGCCCATCGGGGAACCCCAGCTCCCTGCAGCTGGTTCTGCCTCAGAGGGACGTCAGTCTTCCCGGCTGGGCC